GGGGCGGGGCCGGGGGCAGGGGGCGGGGCGGCGCGCGCGGGCGGGCGGGATTATTATGGGCTGTGGGCGCCGCCGCCGCCGCTGAGGGGGAGCAGCAAGATGGAGCTGTCTGCAGTGGGGGAGCGCGTCTTTGCCGCCGAGTCCATCATCAAGCGCCGCATCCGAAAGGTGAGGTGCCGCCCCCATTGGGGCTGCGGGACCCCCTCCCCAACCTCGGTCCTCGCTGCCGGGCCCCGGCCGCGCCGCTGGCCCGCCCCCCCCGTGTGTTGCAGGGGCGCATCGAGTACCTGGTGAAATGGAAAGGCTGGGCCATCAAGTGAGTGTATCCCGCCCGGGCTGCGGGGATGGGGGGCTTGGGATGGGGTGGAGTGGGATGGAGGGGGAGGTATCTATGTGTGCGGCTGCGGGGGGATTTGGGCGCTAATCGCTTCGCTTGTCCCCTCCGCTGCTCTCGCCCCGGCAGGTACAGCACCTGGGAACCCGAGGAGAACATCCTGGACTCGCGCCTCATCGCCGCCTTCGAGCAGAAGTGAGTGTTCATCCCCCACCCTGGGCTGGGGGGGCTGCAGCCGCAGGTTTGACTTTGGGTGGGCGAGCGGGAAACAGCGTCCAGACGTTCCTTTTCTTTTTTTTTTTCTCCCCCTTTTTTTTTTTTTCTTTTTTCCCCTTTAACTTGTATGCTTCTGTTTTTCCCTTTGGGAAAAGTTTTAACTTCTTGAAAAATTTGATTCCCTAAAGGGAACGAGAACGTGAGCTGTACGGGCCCAAGAAGAGAGGACCTAAACCTAAAACTTTTCTGCTGAAGGTAACTCTTATTTAAATAACTTAGGCCTAGCAAAAAAAAAAAAAGAAAAATCATCTGAAACCTTGCTGGTGCGTGCCCTTGGAAGGACTGGACTTTCAAGTGACTTGTGCCTGATGCCTGGCTCTGGGAGCGCGGGGAAAACCCGACAGGAAAGGGGGGTGGGCAGAGGCGCAGAAGCGTGTGAGGGGAGGGCGCGTGTGCGTGCGACGGGTGCCTCGGCAGGACGGTCAGCACACGCAGATGTGCGTGGTGAGCCTGCAGTCTCTTTTTCCGATATCCTCTCCTTCTCCTGGCCTTCTGTTGCCGCAGTGGAGAGCTAGCCAGTCTTGTTCCCCCTTCCTTCAGCAGGCCGTTCCATCAATGCCCCGCAACTCAGCGGCGTGCTGAGCGGTCAGGCGGCAGAGGCGGGAATCCCACTGCCACTTGTGCTCCTCTGATTGCATTTAAGGATGTAGGTGCTCCACGGGAGTTTCACGAAGGGTTCATGCTTTGATCTGTAAGCTGCAGGCTTGTTTTGCTTTTGCAGAGGGTGGGGGGTGGCTGGGAAGAGGAGGAGGAGTGTTTCACCTCTGCATAGGAAGGCAGCTGAAGTTTCCAATTTCTTTCTGATAGACTCAGCATCTGTGCAAGATGTCGTAGCATCTCTCTGTTTGCTTGCAGAGAAGAGCAAGGAAGGTAGTCCCTAGTGCAGGCCTACTTGCCCTGTCTTTTTACCTTCTTTTTTTTTAATTAAGAACTCTGGTAGCTGCGTGACTTACGTGAGCTCTGTGAATGTATTAGTTTACAGATTAAATGCCTTGCTCTACTCCCCTCTTCCCTCCCCTTCCTCTCCAGCTGTCACAATCTCAGGCTTCAAGTGAGCATAGAAAGAACACACCTTTGTACAGTTTAGAGGGATGAGCAAATCTGGAGTTCCCCTGGTTTTATTCTGATAGGAAGCCCTGGAACAGCCTGTGTGGACCCTGTAGTAAGGCATCACTATCACCAAGTCATCCTGTGGCTTTGGGCAAGTCACTTAGGCTTTGTGCGTGTTTCCCCATCTGTGAAACAGGTTAATACTTCCCTTTGCCTGGCAGCAGTAGGAGCTTTACTCAAGTCAGCACAGCACTTTTAACTGCATGAGCACTGGAAAGCACAGTGAGGGGTAGGGTGTCACCTCTTCTCTGCTTTGGGAGGGCTTAATGAAGCACACAGAAGAAATGCAGGGGCAGGCGTATTCTGATGCTCTGCGTGAAACCCAGGGGACCGTGGTAATCCTTGGGAAGTCCTGCTGATGGAGCTGTCCTCCCCAGTCGCCTGTTTTTTCGCTAACAGTGTTCTGTGTGTGTATCCTGAAAATTACAAACAAATCTGATATGTACTACTCCTTATGCTGTATTGAGGGAACACAGTCTAGTTGGCTTTCCTCTTTCTGGCAGTCGTGCATTAAATGTAACTCTGTGTTTAAATTTCCAGCAATGCAAAGGAACACTTGAAGGGAAAATCACCAGCTTGAAATAGTCCTCTGCCTGCATTAAAAAATACTGGTATTTGTAACACCTGACACTGTTCAGAGCTGTAGAGCGGTGACTATGCTATGTGTAATCACTTTCTTTTATTTTTTGATTCTGAATGTGATACGGCCATATCTATTGCCATATCACTTTTTTTTAAAAAAAAATTACTCATTCTCATTTAAAAAACCAAAACCAACCCCCGAACTCAAAACCCACTCATTGCTTCACTTTTCCCCTTACCCTTTAAAACTCCCCTAAACTTAACGTGAATTATTCAGCAGCATCCTTTGAATCACATCCATGACACGTTTCTGCGGCACATCTTCCTTCTGCCAGCTCCTCAAATGGTAATGGAAACCTGTAGGTTTGCAGAGCTGGCTTGGTACTTTGTAGAAGCTGACTCGTGATGGGGAGCAAGATCAGCTCTCCTGAGGGCTGGCTCCACGTGGGAGAGGCTGGCAGGGCAGAGCGCTACCACTGCCTCTGGGAAACAGAGCCGGTGGAACTGTTAGCGCTCTGACCTGCTGTTCCTCTGTGACTTGGGATCCTACCCTAAAAATAACACCCCAGACCAGGCAGAGAGAAGTAACTCTGTCTGGGCCAGACCCATCTGAACTTGTTTGAGCTCTGTTCAGGCAAACCACGGTCGACACAACTGTGGCTAGAGTTACGACAGAGACAGCGAGATGGTTTGTAATTCAGCTTTTCTGACCCCTGAAGATGCACATTTGACCTCTTCCAGCCCCCCAGCGCCAGTTCCACTGTGGGAGGAGTGGGATTGGGTTCTGCCTCGTGCATTACTAACAGTATTTTCAGTCCTTTCAGCTGCAGAATCTCTTGCCAGTGAGAATTTCGGAAGCAGGGGAAGAAATTTGATTCTTGTATCCCAGAGGGAGTATTTGGAGTTGGCAGTTAGAACAATATTCTTTTTGATCTGTTAACTGAACAGATTAGGCCTGGATGCAGAAATCTGGCCTAGGACTGCTTTGATAGAGTAGTCTGCCCTTGACTTCATGGCTTGCTAGGATTTTTCATGTGTATCGGTGCTTAAACCTAGGCTTCTGAGTCTCCAGAATGGCATCAAAATAAGTGCCCTGATATGCCACTCAGTCCCTTGGCTTGTGTGGGTGTTTTGGCTTGCAGCTGGGACTAGGTTTATCCAGGGATTAGTTCTCAAAAGTTGCAGATAGGCACCCAGGGGGATTTGCAGAAAGCATTCCAGCAGGTTAGTGGCCCACGCCTTTGGAAAAGCTTTGAAAAGCTGCATCTTTGACCACCTGCTGCCTTTGTAAGCCAGGCTCCTCTTTCTGAGAGCTGTCTAACACTTGCCCTTTCGATCAGACTGCAGAGGCACATCACAGTCCAGGCTTTGTAATATTACTATCAAGATGGCCGGTGTTGAAAGCGACCCCTGCAAATTTCAACTGCAAAGTTTTGGGCAGGAAATGGGTCTTTATCCTTTGCATGCTAGGGGCAAGCTTTCCCACAGCTGAGCTCAGGCTTGGCAGGAGGCTGTGATTCTTGGGAGGCTGCTGGTGTGCTGCAGCCCTGTGCTGAGCAGATAGGAAACGAAGTTCTTCGTCTGAAACGGGCAGCACTGGATGTAAGGCTCTTCAGATGTCTGGCAGAAGTCATCCTTGAGGACAGGCCCTTCAGCATGGATGCTGGTGTGAGGTTAGAAAGAGACATAGCACGTGCTGTAGTGGTCTTCCTCTTTTTCTCCTGCTCGATTTGCTCTTTTTATTTCACTTTTTTCTCTAGGCACTCCTCTGTGTGGAATGCAAACCTCACCAACTCATCTAATAAAGTCTAGCAAGTGCTATTCAGAGACAGAGTGCAATCTGCAAGCTCAGTGGGTGGCTGGCAAAGACCCCTAGTTGGGGTGGCCATAAATACTAAGGTGACAGGAGTGAAGAAGGTTAATGGGAAGGAAGAAGCAAGGGAGAACAAGGGTAAAGAGATTCTTAGTAGGAGAGTGGGGGAAGAAGGGGCTGAGCAGCATGGTGCTCTGTCCTTTTGCCCTCTCTTGAACTCCAAAGCTGGAATTGGGTTTCTTTTGATCTCCTCCCTGTTCGTAAATTATCCTGAGTAATTTGAAAACAGACCATTCCCCTTTTGTAGCATTTTGTTCCCAATCCAGAGGGAAACTTTAGTTTATGGCAGTGTTGCTTGGGAGAACTGTGCTATGAAATGTCTTGCTTTTGCCTTGTCACTTAGAAGACTGCAGAAGAAAGAGGGTGATAAAAAGGCAGAATGGCAGCCAAAAAGGGGAAAGAAGAGCTCTTGCAAATGCTGTTGGGAGCAAAGACTGTGGGAATGCAGGTGGAGAATAAAAGACAAAGCAGAGCCAGTAATTTATGAGAGACTAGCGCTACTATGGTGCAGCAGCACTACTGGAATTGGCAAGGTTCTTAAATAATTCTGTAGAAATCCATTGCCTTACAAGGTCTTTGGTTTGTTTTTCTCTTCCAAATCATAGAGATTTTGCTACAAGTCAGGTAAGAGAGGCCTTTCTAAGCACGTGTCTGTGTACGTGCTTGTGTGCCTCAGTGCGTTAAGGGAATGAATGAACGAATATGCTTGCTGGGCCTCGAGGGACACTTATTCAGAAATAGTAGGGAATGGGGGAGATACACTGCTTCCCAGGGGCAGTGAGAGAGAGCTGTACAAGATAAATAAAGGTGATACATATCCCAGACGGGAAGAGGGGGAAGGGAAGCAATCCCAGCAATTGGCTTGCTCTCATGACAGAGCACTGCAGCAAGCTTCCAGCAACTGCATCCTGATGTAGGCTGAGCTGTAAGCAGAGAGTGAATTACTTCATATACATGCTGAGTACCTCTTCAGCAGTGAGCACATCCTGCTGGTGAAAGCAGCAAAACCTAGAGAGGTAGTTTCTGTGTGGAAAACTTGTGAGCTGAGGAGCAAACTGTGGTGACACAGCTGAAAGGATTCAGCGGGTTTGTTTTTCAAAGACCTTATCCTCATATGGCTTGTGAGTGTGATCGAGGAATGGATCCAGAGCAGGGAGAAGTGCCTTTCCAACAGATAAAACTGAATGTTGAGTCTTCTCCAAACTGAAGGTAGCAAGTTACTTAATCTAAAGTTGGAAGCAGGGGAAGGAGAGCCTCTGTGCTGTCCCCTGCAGTGAAGGGACAAGTTCATGTAGGTGATGCCTGAATAAACCTGATCCTGTGGTAGGAATACTGAGCTTCCCAAGTGAGAAAGCTCTGGGGGTTGGTCTTAGATAAAGCATCTGATACGATTTTTCTTGAAACCTTACCTGGAAAAACAACCTCAAGGTAAGCTGAATATTTGCATAATGCTCTTTGGAACTTGCATTGAAGCTGGTCACTGGGGATAGCAGTGTAGCAGCAGGGGAGGACTGTTGGGCCCTAACTTACCCTCTCTCTTGGTAATCTGACCAAAGTATCAATGCTGTCTGTAGACCACCTGGACACTACTGAAGCTGGAATTTAATAAAGGCAGATAGCTGAAACATGAGTTAGAAACAGCTTCAGCCTTGAGAAAGTGTCCCAGAAGTAACTGGAAACACAGACACATAGCATGTAAATGAGACCTACTGCTTCTGGCACACTGGAAAAGTCCAAGCCGTGTACCAGGGCTCTACAGTGGCTGCTGGGCAAGCACAAAACCAAGACAGGTCTCTATGAAAACAGAGAGAAGCTGATTAATGTGTACAGGAAGACAAGGTAAAAGAGCAGGGCTGTGGAAGTGGCCAGGTAGTAACCATCCCAGCATTATCACTTTGTTTAATGTGGCTGATGGGAAACTTTGCTCAGGAATTTTTGGGGTGTATAAGGAAACTGCGGGTGTTTGTGACTGCTTCCCCCACACTTCTGGGAAGCTGCCTTCTTTCTCTCCTGGGTGATGGAGGCGGTGCTGGTGGAAGGTGGCAATTAGATTTCACTTGGAGCAGAATGGCACAGAGGGGGCAGAACTCCTCACTTGAAGGCATGATTATTGTGGGCTAGGCAATTAATCTGAAAGATGTGCAGTGTTGGCAGTGGGAGAGGCACTGAAGGATACCTGTGTCCATCCACTGAAGCTGTAGAAGGACTTTTAGTGATGCATCTGTCTTCCTGGCTTCCCTGTCCTGTATTTTGGAATGGGATGTTGTGTTGCATTTTGCTCTTGGCTCAGCAGTGGTAAACTGGTAAGAAACCCAAAGCACAAGGGCAGCAGTGCTGGAAGGGCTGGCTGTGGTGTGGAGCAGGAGGAAAAGGAACAAATTTGTTAATTCAGGCTGTGCTGGTACGTAATGTCAGAAAGCAACCTTTAGCTTGTCCTTGTGTCTGCCATCTGCTTCAGAGGGACCTGTGAAGAGATGGAGTAAGCACAGCCCAAATGTGCATTTTCCTGTGCCTGACCCCCTGACCGGGTCTGCAGTGTCTCCAAGTTCTGTATTGTTGAGATGGGAAGAGGAGACTTGATGTGTGGTGCAGGGAGTTCATCTGTTGCTGTGCTCAGGCCTGTACTACGCCTGTGACAGGAACTGTGTCTTATTTTCTCAACAGTTTGGGGCATGGAGTAACACGAGGCTGAGCAAAGAGTAACTAGATGGATGTTGGGAAGCTTTCTGCTACGGCAGAAAAAGTGTTGGGGTTTGTGTGTGCCGGACACACTTCCCTTTAGCTAGATGGAAACAGCCCTGTTAATGTGCAGGGTGTCTGTGCCTGCCTTGGGGTTGTGCTAACTCGTCTATTTCTTTGTCAGTCGGCTAACACAGAGTCCAGGTCCCCAGTCAGGATGAGCCTTTTTTGTGTTTTCTTGTGCAGTCAGAGAAGGAGGCTCATTTTTGCAGTCCTTTTAAAGCCAGAATACAAGTAGTACTGAAGGCTGTGATCATCCAGTGTTAGTCGAGAGAGGAACAAAATGTCTTCACGTCTCCTTCTTTGCTCATTGAAGATCTTCTGTGGTTCCCATGGGTATCTCTGTGGGAGAAGAGGGGCTCTGGCTAACAGCAAAGCTCTGGAGCTGTAGGGCCAGGACTTTGAGCTTTTTGTGCAGGGGCTGGCTGGGCCCCTCGCTTAGATCTGTTAGATCCCTGCCTTTACACGCACATTTTTTTCCCCAGGCATTTCTCTGGTAGGAGGCACAGCCTGCAGGGTGACAAAGGAGATGGAGTTGAGTGCTAAGCTCTTAGCTGGCAAGAAGCCATCCCGATCTTGGCGTGTGCAAGGGGCAACGGGATGGAAAAGTTGGGGAGGAAAAGCAGCTGTCGTCTTCTAGCTCTGCAGTTCTTTCTGTGCCCACGAGGTGGGGGAAGCTGCTCGCGGGATGGGCAGTCACAGCATGGGGGCTCGCCTGTCCCCTCCAGGCCTGCGTGACTTCTACTTGTCACCACTGCTGAGAGGGAATATGGAAGGGGGTTGGCTTGGGCAAGTACTGGGGTGCAGGTAGAAGGAAGAGCCATACAAGTACCAGCGCTCTGATGAGACGGGATGTAAGAATAGACTCTGGGTTTCCATGCCCACAGGTCATACAGCACCAGCTTACCAATGAAACTGTTGTTCCTGCTGACAGAAAATGTTAATGTCTCTGGTGCGTGAACCAGGGCAGTGTTTGGCACCAGAAGAGCTTAAAAATATTGTTCCTCTGGCCTGGCTCTTGAGAAGGGCTGGCACAGAACAGCTGAACAGGTGCTGGTCCAGTGCTAGGTTTCAAACAAGTGTGGTGCTCAAACGGACAAGTCAGTCTCTTCTTTGGAGGTGCAGTTAAATTTTACTTGAATTCCAACTGGCCTCATCTCTGGCTTTAAACACTGGACCTTGCTCCCACAGCACAGTAAGAATGAATGACTTGCATGTGACCCTAGTTAAAAATCAGATCTCTAAATTTCTTGTGTTTAACGAAGATAGCTCCATCAGGCCATTCTCACCAGCCTCCGTCTTTGTTCCTCAAGACCCCCTTCTACCACGCTTTTCAGAGGTAATTCTCATTAGGTGTTACTCTGCCTCTTCCCTCTTATCTTGTGTTCAATTTGTAGAGAACCTGGTACAGTCCCTTTGTATGTTTGGGTGCTGTCTCAGCACTGACAGCCCCAAGTGCCTGGGACGATGCTGGCTTCTTTGGCTGACAGTGGAGGGTTGTGCACTTTGACTGATGATGACCAAGGGGGACTTTGGAGACCATTAACTCTAACCCTGAGACGTGCCTGGGAAGTCACAGTTTCTCCCTGGGGAAAGCATGTGTCAACAGTGGTACAGCCTAGGGAGACATCAGCTGCCCAGAAATTATATAGACAGTGTCCTATGCCTGTCTGGGGGCTGTGCTAGAGCTATCCATAGTTTGTAGGTGTGTACCTGTGCTTGTCATTGATGTTGTGTATAAATGTGTCGTGGTGCTTGGCCTCAAGTGAGCAGTGCCTCGTTTGAGATCTGGCTGCGCCTAGGCTGCCTCTCTGACCCTGTTTGTTTTCTTTCTCCCCACCACCGCAGGCTCGGGCCCAAGCGGAGGCCCTCCACATTGGGGATGTACACTTTTCTGTCAAGCCTGGTTCCAGTACCTCCTCTCCCAAACTCCACTCCAGCGCCGCGGTGCACCGGCTCAAGAAAGACATCCGGCGATGCCACCGCATGTCCCGGCGCCCCCTGCCCCGTCCGGATCCCCAGAATGGCGGGAGCGTGGGCGGCGGGGCCGGCATTCGTCCTCCCGTCTCGCCCTTCTCGGAGACCGTGCGCATCATCAACCGTAAGGTGAAACCCCGCGAGCCCAAACGCAGCCGCATCATCCTCAACCTCAAAGTCATTGACAAAGGTGGGAAGCCAGCCAATGGGGCCGGGGGCCTGGCTCGGCCCAAGATCCCTTCCCGAAACCGTGTCATTGGCAAGAGCAAAAAGTTCAGCGAGAGCGTCCTGCGCACTCAGATCCGCCACATGAAGTTTGGCACCTTTTCGCTCTACAATAAGCCGTCTGCTGCACCTACCCCGTCTCTGGAGGGCAAGGGGGAGGCCGAAGGCTCCCAGGCAGCCTCCTGTGGGCTTATTATGGGCTCCACCCCCTATGATGCCCCCAGCTCCAGCTCCTCTGGGTGCCCATCACCTGCTCCCCACTCCTCCTCTGACCCAGATGATTCCCCTCCAAAGCTGCTCCCTGAGACCCTCAGCCCAGCCATCCCCGACTGGCGTGAGTCAGAGGTCCTCGACCTCTCAATCCCACCTGAGTCGGCTGCCACCAGCAAGCGTTCTCCTTCGGGAGGGTGCAGTGGGGGGCAGACTCCCTCCTTGTCCCTTTCCTCTTCTGACCCGGAGCAGGAGGCTGGCGACTGGCGTCCTGAGATGTCCCCTTGCTCTAATGTGGTGGTCACGGATGTCACCAGCAACCTCCTCACTGTAACCATCAAGGAGTTCTGCAATGCAGAGGATTTTGAGAAGGTGGCGGCGGGCAGTGGTGGAGGAGGCAGCAAGTGAGCAACCAGGTCCCCCCACTCCAGGGGCGTGGGGGGAGCTCTACCTGAGAGAAGTCGTGGTGCGAATGGCTGTCCTTAGTTCTCTCCTTCTCCCCTTGGCTGTCCCTCTGCCCTCACTGCCACCCTCCCTCCTCCTTTCCTCCTGCCCAATTCCTCTTGCCTGGAGGCTGGAGTGTGTCAGTGGGGGTGTGGGAGCACCCACTGTTCCTGGGTGTTGGTACTGCTAGGAGGAGGCAGGGAGGGTTGTGGTGGGGCTGGGGAGTGGTTGTTTGTCCTTGAATGTGGTGCTGTCCAACGGGCGGTGGAGCCTTTGGGGCTGAGGGATGAGTGAGCATGTGTCTGTGTGCCTGTGCAGGTGGTGAGGATGGTGCTGCTCTTCCTCATTCCCCTTCTGTCTTTGACAAAAACTGAAGAGGAGCTCCAAACCCCTGAGGGGAGGATGTAAGAGGATTGGAGCCCTTGTCCATGTCCTCCAGACCTTCTCCCACAATGTGCATGCAGACTCTTCCATTCTTGTTTCCCCCTTGCCATGACTACCATCCTGCCATCCTTCCCCTCTTGGCCTGTGGCCTGGATCTGCCCTCTCCTCTACTGTCCTTGTGGCAGTTGCTGACCCAGATGCCCTCAGAGTGAGGGGGAGAAGGACAGGTTAAATGTCATGCCTGGAAGGTGCTTGAGACAAAGCTGGGGTGGTGGGGGGTGCCCCATGCAGCCTATGCCTCATATCGGCTTCCCCTTTCCTTTGACTATTGGTGCTACCTTGGCAGTTGTATGGGTGCTTTCAGGTGCCCTGGTCCCTCCTCTTCTCCTGCATCTTCCAACCTGTTCAGCTCCTCAGGAGAAAGGGAAGAAAAGAGGAGTCTGCTTCCAGCCCATATCTTCCTCCTGATGTTCATCACTTGCACTTGTTTGGGAGAGAGACCATGAAATGCCTTTCTCTGGTCTTTCCGTGGCAGAAGCGGGAGTGGGCTGTGCATCCATCCTTCAGGCTGTGGGAGGATAATGCCAACAGCGTGATGCTGCCCCAGCCACATGGCTGCTCTCCCACCGTGTGCGTAAGCTTCCCCCGGCCCTCCTTGCTTCCTCTTGCTCCTTCTGAAGGAAGGAGGGGTGGATGCTAAGGCAGGTTGTTTGTTCTTCCTGCTCGTTTTTGCCCCTCCTGCTCACTTTTGCCCCTCCTGCTCTCCCCTCCCTCTGGTGGGTGGCCTGGAAGAGATTTCCCCTCTGTCTTTTCAGCATCTGAAACAGCCCTTACAACTGTCAACCAAAGGTGCTCATAAGAAATACCTGTCTCTTTCACATCACATGCATGTGCGCTGGATCTCTTCCCCTAAAGCTCCTGTGAGCTGATCTAGAAATTCCTTCTCTTCACCCCTAGCAAGTAGGAGGGAGCAAGACCACAGCTTGCTGTTTATTCCACAGCTCCCTCTTTTCCCTGACCAGCTTTGTTCACATCCAAAATAAGCTCTATTTTTTGCCTGCCATTTCTGGCTTGCTCTGTTTCTGTGTGGGTCCTAAGCTTCGCGGTGAGAAGCCATTCCTTTGCTCTCCTTTCTTGCTCTGCTTGCACAGGACTGAGGCAAGGAAAAAAGGTGCTGATGAGCTGGTGGGAGAGCCTCACCCTCTCAACCCTGTCCCTGGATGGGGCAGAGGAGTGTCACTTCTACATAACATGCTGCAGAGGTGGAAAGGGTGGAAAAAATTCCTCATGCCAGGGCTCATTTACTTATAAGCCTGCCGTGGGCTGGTGAACACAAGTGGAATTGGCCCCTCTGGTGCTTTCACACAAGGATGTTCAGGAGCTGCTGACTCTGAGGAGTGCTCTCCTGCAGCAGTGATTTTGTGGTTGTAGTGATCTGAGGATAGAAGGGAGGCAATTTGTGGGAGGGAAGTAATATTTGTCTGCCCAAGGGACATTGTCAGGGTGGTAGAGGGATAGACCGGCTTCTGACCTTAATTAGGGCTTTTGTGCCCAGAGCGTGTCTATTCCCTGCCTCCAGCGCCTGGGTCGGTGTAATAAAATATTTGCTGCCCTCCCCACAAACCTTGCCTTGCAGTGGGTGGCATTCCAAGCTGTGGGAAACGGTGAATTCACACCAGTTGTGTGAACCAGTTGTGGCTGGGTGTCTGTGCAGACAGTCTGAGGGGGATTCCAGGTGCTGTTAGCACCACCCTTGGTACACCTCTTTATTTTTCTTTCCTCGGTTAAAGAGCTTAGTGGACTCTTCGGGGATGTGCTTTCATTCGCAGCTGAAGCTAGGGGCAGGGAGAAGGAGACTTCCCTGATCCATTCACCAAGCTAAGGCTTTCTATAACTTGTTGGACTTGTGTGCGTGTCTGTGTTAATACCTGCTTGTATTTTTTGTGGGCGTTGGTTTTTTTGGTTTTTTTGTTTTTTTGGTTTGGGTTTTCTTTTGCGCATCTTTCCTGTGCCTGGCACACCCAGGAATCCCTTATGTTAGCATAGCCTATCCATTTGACTGCAGCTTCAAAGATGAGCAGTTTGTAGGCATAGGGAAAAGCTCTTTCTTAGGAAAATAGCGAGGAGATTCTTCTCTTTTTCCTTCCCCTTCTGAATAAGAACTAATCTGTGGCTGTGAGATAAGAGGAGCTGCTTTATGGGGTGGATGCAAACCGGCCAGTCACTTTAGGTTGTTAAGTTACTCTTTGGCGTGTATGTGGTGATGTGTTTTGTTTTGTGGTATCAAGATTCTGAAAAAAGTGTTGAAGCGTTTAAGTGGGAGATAAAAGGGAACTTTAATAGGAAACTCTTGATGTGTTTTGGCCAAGATGTGTTGCTTGGCAGAATTCTTTTCCCCAGTGTCTCTTGTATGGTGTTCTTTGGGGGCAAGGGGCAGGAATTGTTTAATTGAAGGGGTTTTGCCTTTCTTCAGAGTGGCAAGCAAGGGAACTGTCTGTGAAGAGTAAAACAGTGGGTCATTGTAGGGATGCTCCGCAAGGACCTTCTTCCTGCGGTGAGGAGATGAGGGCACTTGTTGCAGCAGAGAAACTCGTGTGGTAGATCCTCTTTGTGGAGGAAGAAAGGAGTATGATCCGGCTTGCAGACACAGCTCACCTGCTTGTGTGACAAATCCCTCCCTGGGAGGGTCACCAGGTGGGAACCAAACCCTGAACCTCTGGATCCGAAATGAGGATCCCGTGCTGGTTTGAGTTAGAGGTTTGCTAACTTGAACGCAGCAGTAGCCTCAAGTTCCCTCAGGTGGACAAGACACTTGAGGCTGACTAACCTACCTTCGTATTCACGTGGGCTGTGCTCCTCCTTCTGAATTTTTGCCCTTGCTCCTTAATGGAGATAGGAAAGAAGATTCATCCATGCCTTTTAAAATGTGCATGGAATTGAGGGAGGAGTTTATTTGAAAGTATCCCCTTCCTTTCCCCGTAACCCTTAGGAAAAAAAATCAACAAAAACAGGGAAATATTCTCTGTGTCTGTGCCATGTTTGTTCTCGTTGTCGTGTTTTTAGAGGAGATTTTATGATGGAGTGGAAAAAGTGAAATGATTAGTTTTGCATAAAAAAAGAAAAGTTTTAAAAAAATTTCTACAGGGAGAGAGCGAGAGAGAGTTTAAAAATGAATAATAAATGCAGTGATTGCACAAACTGTAGTGGTATTAGATGGTCCTTAGAGAAAAGAGTATTTTGTAGTATCGAAGCATGTGTGTCTGGGATGGTGTTTGGCTCGCTTGAACTGGAGGGAAAGGCGTTCTAGGACTAAGCAGCGATCTCTGAGCTGAAAAGGCAAGTTGCATGTTGGAGGAACCCTGTCTACAAACCTTTCCCGTCCTTGCCTCCCGAGTGTCGGAGTGAGTTCCCTTCCCTCCCATACCTCTCCTGTGAGCTAAGGTGGAGTCTCCAAGTGGTTTTCTGGCTGAGCAGCCCTCAGAGGGCCGGTCTGGTTCTGACAGATTGTGGATCAGGCCATCAACGTGGAAACAGTTGACTTACTTTGCATGCACAGCAGGCTGCTGACGTTTGAGGTTGGCGTGTACCTTTCTTGCCAAGTTGCTGTCTCTTTTCCATCCCCTATATCCAAGCAGAATTAATCATGGTGGGCTTATTTCCTGGGAAGCAGATATGCCTCTCCTTTGTAACGTTTCTTAAACTTCTTCCAGTACCAGGTGGGGGGGTGACACTTTTCTGTATAGAATTCACCACATCAGGGCAGAAAACTGAATCCCATTGTTGTGTATTCCAGCACCCCTTCTCCCCAGTGGCGGGATCTCTAGAGGCAAATGAGAGCGCTGCCTTGTGTGCTCTGATTGTGTTGCTGAGGGACACACGCCCTCTTCTCGAGGCCAGCAAATGCTGGAAGTTTTTAGGGTGGAGAGGGGAGAGGAACAATCTGACAGGACTGTGCTCAAGTTGGGCAGTCCTCTTCTCCAGCTTCCTTTGGGGTGGTGGGGAGGAGTTGCCTGAACATTCCTTCAGAGCGAGGAGGCAGCTCTTGTTTGCTGCTTTCCCTGTCCAAGATGTCTCTGGTGTTCATCTGGCACGTGGGAGTGACTGCAGGGAAGAGGGAAACCACCAGATGTTGGTGTCTGAACAGAAGATGGTAGGCAGGGACGCTTGAACAGCTTTTCTTGTCTGGACTTCTGTGGTGCCCTTTGCAGTGGCTTTGCAGTGGCAGATGACGGATGTCTCGATGCTTCCCATAGCCTGGGCTGCACTTGGGAACTTTACTCTCTGCCCATCAAACTGCCGGTGCTTCCCATGGCTTTCAACTTGGAACAGAAACCTCCTGTCTCAGGCTCTCTTCTCAATGAGCAGCATGGGACTGGAGGGGCATGAAGCTAATGAGATACAAGCTCCTTTGGGGATGAAAAACAGAAATAGTGTGGTGAGCAGGCCCAGCTGTGGTGAGCCACTGCTTAAATTCTGTTTGCAAAAGAGAATGGGGGCATTTCTCTGTGTCTCCCCTTACTGAACTTCCCAGGGAGATTTTGTGAAATAAACAAATTTAAAAAAAAAGAAAAAAAAAAGAAAAAAAATCACAACCACAATCATGCTTTTTACTGGGTAGGAGCTGTCTCTGAGCTGAGTCTTCCTAGGGATATCACTCCCTTTCCAGCCCCTCTTTGTAGAGGAGGCTTCAGCAGCTCCCAGTGTTTGGAGATTATCACCTCCCTGGGGACTTCCTGGCAGAAAGAGGTTGCCATGCTTGAAGGATGGTGTCCTGAGTTCCCCATACTTCTGCCCCAGGCCATGGCATTAGTGGGGCTGCTCAGGAGCAGGTCCTTGTTCCCAGGGAGGTGTAACAAACCTGGAGTGTGTGTTTGGCTAAGTGCTTACTTTCCCTTTTGCTTCCTTCCCCACCTTCTGACAAGACTTTCCTCCTTGCCTGGCACATCCTTTTACTCCAATGTCGCTTGCTTTTGCTGCATTTTTCAATTGCCCAATAATCACGCAAGAGCTGGGATCTTATTTACTTCTTATATATAAATATATGAATATAAAAAGCCTCCTCCCCCTCTTTCTCCCCATCTCACCCACCACCCCATGCACAGCCTCCCTGATCTCTGCTGTAGAGGGTTAATTTGGGGTTGGGGATTCGGTGCCTCCTAAGTTCTGTTCCTTCTTGGCTTGCCGTGGTTTTTCTGCCAGCTGTGTCACTGCCCTGTGCCTCTGTCTCCCTCATGCAAAGGGGATGGGGGTGAAGGAGACCATCCTGCTGAGGGTGCTGGCAGCCCAACTCTCGAGGTGTTTGCAGAGATGGAGTGCTCAGTGTCAGAAATCCCCTACTCCCTGTCTGTGCTTCCTTCCCCAGGTAATTCCAGGAAGTATCTTCATTTCACCAATGCTCCGAGGTTGAGAAAATAAGTGTCTTTATTTTCTTTTAACTTCTATTTTTGAGATCCTTTCCCAGAGTGCAATGTGTATGGTTTCTTTTTGGGGGTGTAGATGGCAGGAGATGTTGGAGTCTGCCTCCATCCTCACCTTTGCCTTTCTGTCCTCTGCTCCTCTCACATTTTGCCATTGCCCCGTGTCAGACTGATGTTGTTGGAGGTATTTGCACCCTTTTCTGTGCAGGGTCAGACTTGGCACCAGGAGCTTCTCCTGTGTTCTGTGTGGTGATTCTGAGGTGCCCTGTGTCCCACCTGCCTCACCTCTAAGCATGCAGCAGGGCCCCGAGTTCTTTCTTCTAAATTTCTCCTTGCAGGAGTGAAGGGAGATACAGTCCTGTGGTGTTTGGCTGCCTCTAGCAGCTCTTCTGTCCATTCCAGCTTCTCTGTGATGGGAAGCAATGACTCCAGGGCCATCCAAAAGCACAGTCCTTGGGGTGAGGGTCCTTCCATGCCAGCTGAGCTCTGTGCTTTGAGCCCACACCCTCCAGGCACTGGCAGATGGCCCTGGGATGGAGGAGCAGGATTCCCTCTGTGCTCCTGGGCTGGGTGGTGCTGGGAAGGGGGCAGCAAGCAGCGTGCTGTGGCACAGGGAAGAAGTAAGGTGACAACTGCAGCAAGATGCAGTCAGAGTGGTGCCAGCTTCTGCAATGGTTCAGAAAATGTTCTGCTGGGAGGAAAGGGGCATGGTGGGACATGCAGGCAAAGTGTTAATTCCCATTGCAGGACCCTGGTTCTTTTCTTCATTCCTTGTTCAGCTGAGCACTTGGAGCTCACATTAAACCTCCAGAACATGGCTGGGTGGGTCAAAGCACTTAGTGGGGCTTCAGGGCCTCGTAGGACTAGCGGGGCTTTCCCATGCTCCCAAGAGCCCCCAGCTGGCCCCTTCTCTCTAGGGATACTGAGGGCTTTCCTCTGGGCAGAGCAGCAGGTAGGTGCTCTTGCACAGGTCGTTGCTCTTCAGCTGCCCTGGAGGGTGCCTGCTGCTTCCAGCCCCCAGCTGCAAAGCGGGGGCAGAATCTTAGGTCAAGTTCTCAAACGGAACAAAAAAAATTAATCGTTGTGATGACTTTTTTTAGAAAAGAGTTGTCATGCCTGCACCTCCCCCAAGCAAATCAACTCAGTGTGCTGTCCTCCTTCCTCTTCTCCCCTGTGCCATTAAGCCTTGTACACTCCCTAAGAATAGAGGAGACTCTCTGCTTTGGGATTTTTTTTTCCCCCCATTTGTTTTCTTTTTGCATAGAAAGTTGTCTGCTGGTGGTGGAGGACAGGGGCCTGCTTCATCTGTTCCTTCCTTTCACCTTCCCCTGTGCCAAGCTTAGGCTCAATTGCTGCAGATTTCCTGCAAACACTGAACTTGGAGCAGGCGAGTGACCCCACTGCGTTCTGTGGTACTTGGGTGCTTCAGACTCTGCCTGTGCTTGAGCTTTGGCAGCATCAGAGCCCTTCCTTCCTCTGGGAGAAGGTCAGCCCTAACTCCAAGTGCTGATAGTTCTGGTGCAACCCATCTGTCTCTTCATTTCCCCTCACTTGGCATACAGAGTGAAGGTGGTAATTTTTTTTAATTTAAAATAAACCTAAATATGTATCTTGTAATTTTTTTTTTATTTTGAAAAAAAAAGCATTTAAGGATTGTGCACGGATGAATTGTATATCTATATATTATTTTTTTGTCTTGCAATTTTCATTTTAAATATAGTGTTTGTTCAGTTTTGTTTTGTTTTTTAATCCAGTTCCCAGCTGGCTAAACTCTGTCTAGAGTGGATGGGTGGGAGGCAGAGCCACTGGAAGGGTGATTGAATCACTCCTTCCCTTGGTGCTTCCTACAAGAAACTGGTTTGCTCCAGGTTTGGGGGTGGGGGTTGTGCTAATTACTCTTGTATTCTTGTACATTTTGTTCTTTCTGCTGCTCTTGAGTATTGTATCAATGCCAGAAATGGGGAGTTAAAAATTAAAACAAAAAATTAACCCCAATAAATTGTTACATTCCAAAATCTGTTGTTGTTTTCCTTGGGCGGGCTGTGACTTGTGGAGCTTGGGAGGAGGGCTATGGAAATGCCTGCCTGAGCCAGCACAGATCAGCTCTGCAGTCAAACACAAGCACCTGCACCCTTCTTGGGCACCATGGATCAGCCCTGGATTGGTCTTTGGACCTTTCTGAACACAGAAGCTCTGAAAAAAGACTCTGAAAAAGGAGTATTCTGGAATGTTAAGGGAAGAGGGAGCACTTGGGAAGGCTGAGCTGTAGCAAGTGGAACCTGAACACCCTCTTCCCAAGTGCTTGGGAGAATCTCCCATGGTCTCCCACATCCTTTTAATAATGAAATTAGATCAGGGTACCACCTAGCACTTGGTGGCTGCAAAATGCTTCAGGCTTTTCCCAACTCCAGAACACGTGCTTGAGTGCACTTTCTCACAGGCTGGTCTAAGAAATACGGGGCAAAATCCTCTCTGTGTGTGATTGAAGGCCAGATTCACTCCATCACTCTCCAGCCTGTAGCAGCTGCACGAAAAGGCTCAGCTAAACTTCTGGGGGGGAGATGTGGTGGGGCAAGCGAGTTGGTTTTGGACAGAGAGGCCCTTCAGCCAGGCGGGAGAGAAGGGCAGGAAGGCAGCACTATGGGGAAAGGGCAGTGTCTGCACACAGCTCCAACCAAAACACCCTCAGGGCTGCCCTTCAGGAGGCTGCCATGAGGTCTCACCCTGAGGGGAGGGATTGGGCTGAGCTGCGCGTTCCTTGGAGAGAGCTGCTGCCTTGAGATGCCTCTGCACCGGCTGTGTTTCGGAGCGCCACGGCAGGGCCTGCTCCAGTGGTGGCAGGGCTGGCAGCAGGGAATGCTGCCCACAAAGCCAAGCACAGTCCAGGTGTCATTCGTGTCGTGCCATCAGGCTCACCTTGCCTCTTCTGGAGAAAACACTCGCAAAGCCAGCACTCCCTCCTCCCTTGCCCCCTGGTTTTGCTCAGAAGCCAGTGGGCTTTTGGCTGGATTTGAGAACACCAAGTGCAGCCAACTCTCACCCAATGCTTTCTGGAGCAGGAGGAAGGCTGGAGAGACAGACCCCAGCCTGACTGAACAAATCCAGTAAGGTCCTCCCCCTGCCCTGGTGCAGGCAGACCCAGTAACCAGGACAAGGTGATGCAAGTCACACCTGCAGGGCTGAGAAACCTGGAAATAAAGAAGCCAGGATTTCCATGCTATGTAGAACCTGCAGATCCCCAGGATCTGAAGGTTCCCGGTCTAAGGAGATGGTGGAGCTGAGTCCACGGAGTGGCAGAGGAGCCCTTTGATCTCCTTAGGGTGGCCCTGGGGATGTTCCTGAGCTGGGTGATAACCTGGGAGGAGGGAATCCCCCACCTCAGAAGCATCCGCTTACATGCCTCTGAGAAAGTGTTTCTCCCTTTCCCTCACCCCACCACCCTGCTGGCCTCAGCATCATGAACAGGCCAGGGTTTCAGGCTGGCCAGGATGGAGCTGCCTGGTTCCTGTGGGGAGGGTTGGATGCAGGGCAGCCTTGGAGCAGCAGATGTCCTTCCCCTTAAGCCAGCAGTCCACCCCAAACATCCCTCTCACCCAGGGGGCACAGCTGCTAATCCCAGACACCATCTTGGTGTTAATTAAATGGAAGAAAATCCTTTAATTGCTCACTCCCAGTCCCCCTGGGCTGAATCCTTGAGCTCTTGTTAAATCCAGCTTCTGTCACCAATCCTGCTCAAAACAGGAACCAAAAAAGCCCCAGTCTGCCTTCCCCCACCCTATCATGCACCATCCTTGCAAGGGCCAGCTGCCCACCGAGCATCTCTGAGTTGTTATTCATGGGACAGGGAAGCTGCTCTGGCCACTCACCGGTCTGAGTCATCACTCCGGGTGAAAATCTATTTTTGTCACCTCTTTGTCTCTGGGAAGAAGTCATCCGTGCTGAGGGACAGGTCGGGACCATGGGAGAGGTGAGCCCTGCCCTGCTGCGATACCCAACTCTTCCCCATCCCAGCATGGGAGAGTGGGGCCAGGCTGCTGCAGAGGGGCTCACCCTTCCCCTCACTGCCAGAGCAGCATCGGCCAGAGGTACAAACCTTGCCACCACGATCCTGCAACCCTCGGTAACAAAATCTAGACAGTTCAAGGCATCGTTTCCCCTGGCAAGAAGCTTTGTAGGAGCGTATGGCACTTCTCCCCACAGGGCAGCAGATAAAGGGTACCCCTCCCACCCTGATCTGCACTCTGTGGGGAAGGCTGGCCTGGTGCAGCTCTCACACGGGTTCCTTCCAGTTCCACTCCCACCTGAGCGCTGCCAGGGTGGGCATGCAGCAGGCAGGGGGTGACACAGCAGGGTGCAATCCCCTGCCACTGTTAGCAAGGACAGGTTGGAGGCTGGTGGCCTCCCCCCACGTCACGGGGTGCAGGCTTCTGTTTCCTTTGCATCCCTCTCCAGTGCCCACTTGTCCCATCACACCGAGCACTCACCTCCCACAGCGCACACCGGCCTCGCCACCAGGACCAGACGCCTGTTGCTTGGGCTTTCTTCACATCCACCTGCCCAGACTACTCCGTGTCCAGCTCCACTTTTCCCCCTCAGCATTCCCTTCATCTCTACCTCTTCCTTGAACCGCTCCATCAGTCTTCCTCTCCTCCTCCCCACAGCCTTACAACACCACAAGTCAGGCAGGTCTCTTGCTGGCTCTGGGGTGATGGTTTTGAGGGGCTGGGGTACAATGCACTCTGTGGGGAAAAAGGGCGACTGTATGCTGTCAACAGCCAAATTTGAGGAGTCCTTTGTAGCTCTGGCTCCCTTGCTATCCACTCAAACATATCTGAGGGGAAAGAAGAGGTAATCTTTACTGTTGTTTCATACCCAGCACTGTTTTAAACACACACGCTCCTGCTTCCCTGCCTGCTAGGAAGGATTTCCTGCCATTACTGAGTAGACCTTGACATTGATTTTGGTTGTTTTCCCTCTTGTGCTCCTCTTTTCTCGGCAGGGCTGCGTCACCAAGGCCCCAGTGTGCCTGGGGAACAGGAGAGGGCACAGCACAGCTTCTGTTGAAGCAAGGAGGTAGTGGTTGTCTGAAGCAGCTTGTTTATGAGCAGCTCAGACTAGAGTGATGGTGCGGGAAATTAAGCGTGTGTCTTTATTTCCCAAATGAACAACGTGAGTGCGTGGGGCAGAGGGTGAGGCATCCCATGGCAGGTCTCTGCAACAGTCCTGTCTGAGGTGGGAGAGCAAGACAGCTAGGAAGTTTGCTAGTTTAATTTTTAGGAGGAAGGAGGAAAAGGCCCCAAAGACCATCACAGGGAATGAGTGATTACGAGGCTTTCACCCTCGGGGTATCAAGCGGCCCTTTACTGCCAGTCTAGGCATCTCTCAGGGCAAAAATCATCCCCTGGGCTGTGCCGGAGCAGCATCCTCTCGCCAGAGGCTCCCGCCGGGCTGACTTCGGCGAGCCCGGGGCAGGGCTGGCCCCGTCCCCGGGTGCCCCTGGGGCGCCCTCCCTGCCCTTCCCATTCCCTCAGCCGCTGGCTTCCCACCGCCCGGACCGCCGCCCTTGCAGCCCGGGGAGGGTGCTGAGCGGGAAGGGGGGGTCACTAAGAGGGGCACGGCCGTCCATGGGGATGGGGATGCCGGCACATATAAGCGCGGCGCGGCGCGGCGGGGCCCCGGCGCCGGTGCTGCTGCCGGTACCGTCCTTCCCCGCCGGCTCCCTCCGGGCTGCCCGTCCATCCCTCCGACCGTCCGTCCCCCTCTCCATCCCCGCCCGCTTTGTTTTCTCGCCGTCCGCGGGCTCGGGCCCCCCACGCCGCTGCCACCCTGAAGTTTCTGGCGGTGCTGCTGGCGGCGGGCATGCTGGCTTTCCTCGGGGCCATCATCTGCATCATCGCCAGCGTCCACCCGGCCGGCACCGCCGCGCCCGCCGCCGCCGCCGACAATGACTCGGCCGCCGCCGCCCTCCTGCCCGCCGCCGACAAGGGGCTGGGAGCGCTGCACGGCCCCGCCGAGGCTCTGGCCAGCGCCGGGCCGCGCCTGCCGGGGGGGCCGCCGCTCTTCAGCCGCTTCGTCTGCACGCCGCTGAGCACCGAGTGCCCGGCCACCGGCACCGGCAGCGGCAGCGCCGCCGGCCCCGAGGAGCTGCTGGCGCTGCGGAGCGCGGCGGCCCAGCTGCGCCGCACGGCGCTGGAGCAGAAGGAGCGGATCCGCATGGACCAGGAGACCATCCGGGAGCTCACCGGCAAGCTCAGCCGCTGCGAGGGCGGCCTGCGGAGCCCCCCCGCCGCCGCGCCCCCCGCCGCCGCCGGGCTCCGCGCCGCCCCGCGCCCCGGCACCATGGGCCACCCTCCCGACGAGCCGCCCGCCGTGCGGGAGCTGGAAGAGGCTGTCCGCACCCTCCAGGACCGAATCGACCGGATAGAGGTGCGAGGGATGCTCCTGGGGACTGGGCGGGATGCTCCCAGGGAAAGATGCTCCCACACGTGCCATTCCCCAGCCTGCAGCCGCATGCACCCCGAGCTAACTCGTCCCCCTCATGAGGCTTCAGGAAGGTTGTCCCTGCATCCCTCTTTCCTGAGATCTCTGCCCAGGGGCAAGGGACTCGCCTTGAGCCCTCCTCTCTCTTTTCCATGCAGGATAGTCCCAAAGCACCAGGCTGCCCCAATTTCCCCACAGTCTGCACTCGGGTAGGACACCTTGCTTGCCCCATAGCACCTGTTAAGGTGCTCCTCCAGAGCAGGTTGGCAGCTCTGGCAGCCAGATCCTGCCCGTTAGCAGAAAGGTAAATCCCATCTGATGCCATCATGGTTATGAATGGGACATCTCACAAAGTAAAGTGCAGTGCCACCCACCATGGGCCTGGCACCCTTTCTCCACACGGTCCTTAGGAGCTGGAGAGAGAAGGGCACAGCTGGAGTCATTCACTGTGCCCATTCCTGTGGCGCTGGGCTGTTGGCACTTGGGATGCAGACCCCTGGTCCCCATTCTGTAGCAGCTGTGCAGCGTGTGCCTG